GTTGTTATTGTTGAAATCACTCGTGGTTTATATTTCGTTCTCTGTTGTTATTATTGAAATCACTCGTGGTTTATATTTCGTTCTCTGTTGTTATTGTTGAAATCACTCGTGGTTTATATTTCGTTCTCTGTTGTTATTATTGAAATCACTCGTGGTTTATATTTCGTTCTCTGTTGTTATTGTTGAAATCACTCGTGGTTTATATTTCGTTCTCTGTTGTTATAGTTGAAATCACTCGTGGTTTATATTTCGTTCTCTGTTGTTATTGTTGAAATCACTCGTGGTTTATATTTCGTTCTCTGTTGTTATTATTGAAATCACTCGTGGTTTATATTTCGTTCTCTGTTGTTATTGTTGAAATCACTCGTGGTTTATATTTCGTTCTCTGTTGTTATCGTTGAAATTACTGGTGGTTTATATTTCATTCTCCATTTTGATCGTTGAAATCACTCGTGGTTTATATTTCATTGTTTTTCGTGATCGTAGGATCAACCCATGTTTTATATTTTATTACCTATAGACAATTTATTGATTTTATTGATTAACATTTATTGATAAGGGGTAGGGAAATTAATAAACCTCCTGATTTTTTTAGATTAATGAGTAAATTATAGTATTGCAGCTCCACATTTCGAGAGTATTTCATTTGATGCAAGATGATAAGCTTTTACTTACTTGCCCATATCGAAATCGCATCTGGCACCCCTAACAATAATGATATTATTATCCATATTTGTTTAGCTTCTTGCTCAAACTATCTTTCACTCGCCCTATACTTTCTTGTTATAATGGGGAGAAGAGTGACAAAAGTTTCAAGAATAGTAATTCAAGAGCACGTGTTTTAGATGTGTTATAACATTTTATTCAGGTAAAGCTACTCAAGGACTATGTGTGATAACCGTCCTAATTTAAGCTTATAGACTAGAGGGAAGGCAGCTAGCCAAAAGCACCCACCGCTAACTCTTGGACTACTGTTGTTTGATCGAATAGTGGTATGTGACTGTTACCCTTATAATGCAGCAAAGGTCCAGCACTGGGACACACTTAAGTTCTAAATATCTATAGAGGTCTGATAAAATATTATGTTTATGAAGACCCATACCTGGCAACTATTGTGTAGGAACGCTGGACAGTGATGATACTAAACTCGTTCTGATATCCCGGTTGTTCAGGAATTGATACTTTCATCCCAGTTAGAGGAAGTTTGTGATGAATTACGTAAAGGTATCGTTGAATCGGAGTTGTGCTCACCAAGCAATCGTTGAACTGTAATAAAAGCAACAGATCAGTATTAACATGTGAGGTACTACTTACTATACTGAGTTAACAGATCAGTACTAACATACGAGGTGCTGCTTACTGAACTGTGTCAACAGATCAATAGTAACATACGAGGTGTTGCTTAATGAATTGAGTCAACTAATCAATAGTAACGTACGACGTGCTGCTTACTGAACTGTGTCAACAAGTCGATACTAATATACGACGTACGAGTCAGTGAACAGTCCGATCATGCCAAATACTAGGTTACACCCAGCCCTAGTTTAAAGTAACTGAACTGATACAACAGAAAAATACTAATATTCCAGCAACATCTCAGTATACTAACATACCAGGTACTAATTACTGCTCCAGAAATCAACACTAACGGAATCAACAAATCAGTAATCACTTTGGTGGTACTAATTCCTCAAATGAGCCAACAGATAAAAACAAATGTACCACGTGTTACAGACAGAACTGTGTCAAGAGATTAATCCTATAATACTAAATACTAGTCAAAAAACAGCGTCAAGAAATTAATCATATAATACTAAATACTATTCACTGAACTGCGTCAAGAGATTAGTACTAAAATACTAAATACTAGTCGCCGAATTGAGTTAAATGAATACCAACACAAGGTTCCAATTACTGAACTAAATAAATAGATCACTGCTAACGCACGAAGTACTTATCATAGAACTAAGTCAATTGATTCATACTATAATACCTCTCATAACAGGAACTAATCACTAAACAGTGTCAACAAGTCAATGCTATAACATAAAACACACTGGTCACTGAGCAGAGTGATCAGTTCATTACTGACACACCAGGTATTAGTCATAGAACTGAGTCAACATATCAATATTAACATAGTAACATTAGTAACTAAAGAGACTCAACATACTAGGTATTAGTAACTCAGATGAGTCAACACATAAATGCTAGCATTACAGGTATTATGTAATGAATTGAGTCGTACATATCAAGTACAAGGAACTATTATTTGAACTGAGTCAACAGTTTCAAAACTAAGAACAAATGCTCAAGTCATTGAACTGAGTCGTCAATTCAATGCTAATTTTACCCCAACAACCAATCACTGAGCAGAATCAAAGACAGCAATAATAACGTAACAGACACATATAACTGAAATGATCTAACAAATTAATTGTAACATATCAGTCACCGAACTTAGTCAACAGATCAATATTGTCATACACAGTATTAGTCACTGACCTGAATCAACAGATTAGTACTAGCATAATAGGTACTCCGCATTAAAACGATTTAAAATATAAGTACTAACATACCACAAATTAATGGAATAACTGAATCAATAGAACAATCGTAACAAAAACTTACGAGTTATTGAAATGAACCACGTCACAGTTGCTAGACGCTGCAATGAGTCAACAGAAGAATATTAACATAACAGGTACTTACTGCTAAACGGTGTCAAGAGATTATTATCGTTACACCAGGCACTATTAACTGCGCTTAGATAGCAAGTCAGTAGTACCACACAAAGTTTACTAGGAACCAAATTCAACCAACAGACTAATACTAATATAAGTGTAAAAAAAATTAAATAAAAAAATTAGGAATGGGAGGGATAAAATCATAGCACTTGGTGACTTTTGACATGGTGCAATCTCAAAATGGGTGTGACCATCGTTCCGCCCATTCCTAGTTCATGTGTTTTTTGCAACTTAGTAATTGTTCAAACTTAATGAAAGGTGTATGTAGCTAAATTTCTCTGTTGTAAACTTTGTTTCAGCAACCAAGTATAGGTACATGTATGTATAACGAAATGACGTGACCCTAACGAATTGCGTGCCATCATAAGGGAGATGTATGGTGTAGGAAGTGAGACAGAAAGCTCCAATAGTCATACTATGCTTAGGGAATGATATTATAGCTATCGGACTGGTAAGGGGTGGCCCAAAAGAATTGTATCAAAACCACTGATTTTTGAATTTTTTTTGGATACTTAGAAAGAATTAGCTACTGATAAAACTCAATTCAAGTCTATAACTGGATCTAAGTTCAAAGTAAAACACATAGTAGAAATGGGCGGAACGATGGACACACCAGCTTTGAGGTTGCACCATGTCAAAAAACACCAAGTATTGTAATGTTATCCTGCTCATTCCTACTTTGCTTCTTTACTTTTTGGTGCTCCCATTGCTACTTCTTAAATTTTTGTTAGAATTTTTTTACACTTGTCTCATAGATTGTTTTTGTACTAAGTCTCGGGAATAACTGGGCTCTAGGCCTATCCTTCTCGTTGCTTTTCTTGGTGCTAAGTCTCGAGAGTGAGTGGGCTCTAGGCCTATCCTTCTTGTAGCTTTTCTTGGTGCTAAGTCTGAGGAGTGACTGGGCTCTAGGCCTATCATTCTTATAGCTTTTTTAGAGCTATCTCTCGACATTTCCTGGCTTTTGCTGATATTTTTGCTATAGTTTTTCTTTCATCTAGCCAGGGTGGCAGCTTTTTGTTTGACTGGATTAATGCCTAAGGCATATTTTGCATATTCAACATTACTGTTTCTAACCTTATCTCTAATCTTGCAGTAATGCTCTCTTTGCTGGGAGAAATACTTTTCAAGGTTATCAACATAAGTTTTCTCCTTTTCTCTTGTTTTGTTTCCTTGAAAGGCATATTTTTAAAATCACACCTTTTCAGGCACAACCTTAGATGTCAATAGGTCACAATGTATCGTTCTTGTCCAGAGCACTCGAGAAAAGCCATGTCAGATTTTGGCAGAGGTAGTTTTCGTCCTTGCGTCGGCGATTCACGTCTTAGGTACCGACTGCTATGATAACATTTCTTTGTCCAACACAGAACCCTCGAGTCAGATGTAAAGAACTGAAAACTTTGCTTTCAAAAGTTAGATCATAGTTAGAATCTAGATCTATAGAATTTGCGTAGTTTATATTTTTTTATCTAACTGATACAACTGCAGGCTGATCATGTAGCACGTGCACATAAGCAGTCATGCTCCCGCACGTGATATGAGGGCTGGTTGATATTGGGCAACTCACAGAGCATGTTCATAACCATAGAATATAACTACTAGTGTATTTCTAGCCCGTTAGTAGTGTTGCAAAAGGTTATTGTTTTTACTTGGTATTACCAAGGTTATATGTAAAAAAACGCTTTTAACCAAGGTAGCGTAATTCAATTATGTATATTTAGATTTACATAAGATGAAGACAGGAGAGCGCTTTTTTTTTTCCAACAACGTCAGATTGACAAATTTATGATTTGTGAAATTTTTGTTTTTACTTCACCGACTTTCTCAAGTACTTTGGTAACTTGTTACTCTGTAGTTGGTGTGCTTATTACTCAACGGTATGTGTAAAGTGCTTATAAAGTTTTGTTTACATGCAGTATGTGTAAAGTGCTAATAAAGTTTTGTTTACATGCAGTATGTGTAAAGTGCTTATAAAGTTTTGTTTACATGCAGTTTGCAGTGTGTTTGAGATTTTAATTTGTATTGCACATATTGCACATCTGGCCCATTCCTACTATAAGTACTACCGTAATTATAATACTAGATACGAGACATTTAACTATTTCAACAGATCTATGCTAACGTACCAGGTACTAATCACTATACAGAGTAAAAAATCGATATCAGCAATGCAGAAACAACAGAGAGTTGAGTACGTTATATTAAAACGATTTTGTTGCACTCCATGTCGCCACGTTCGGTCATGCTGTATCTGATGACCGTAATCTTGATAATAGTCCTGCAACGCAGCTTCCATAAAAAAGGGGCTCCAGAGTAAGGCTGTCGTGTCCAAAGCACACCACTCCTCCCCGCTACTTTCCATAATTAATCTAGTGTACGAAGACGACAGTATCCCAGTGCCCGCTTCAATAGTTTGACCACAAAGGAATCCATGAGTGTTGCATCTGGCGACGTGACCAGTATGTCTTCGTATCGAATAGTATGAATAACTATTTCATCTCCAATTACCGGAAGCCTTATCTTTGTGAAAACATACGCTTTTGGCCTCGTTTCCAGGCGGACATTCGTCTTAATTATCTTATGTAGGCTGCGTGTATGGCTTTACCACTGATGTGTGTTTGTGGCTTATGTAACGGTAGTGATTTCTCGACAATGTATAGAGACTTAAGTTAAGAACCTTAGATGTAACTGTAGAGATTTCTTCGACAATCTATAGAAACTTAAAATTAAAAACCTCAGATGTAACGGTAGAGATTTCTCGACAATATAAAAAGAGTAGAGACGCGAAATTATAAACCTCAGATGTAACAGAAGCGATTCAATATCCGATTAAATAGACCAATAGACTTATTTGTCACTAAACTGAGCCAAGAAATCAATAATGCAATATCATGTATTGTTTATTAAACTGAGTCAACAATTCATTTATGATCGTTACTATACTCTGAACTAAGTTACAATTCAATTAATTAACTTGAATAACAATGACTTTATTGACCACCACAACAAAATATTAATATACATATATTTATAAACATTATTACTAACTATACGTATATGGAATGTATAACTTTTTGGAAAGTAATTTTTATTCGCTACACAATATCTGTATTTATTCTATAATTAACAATTATATTTCATACTGTTTATATCATTTTATAATATCTCTTATTCTATCTTCAACTAAGTTAGCTTATTTAAATAATATCAATGCAAAGATTCGTCCTTTAAAATAGGTAAACTGGTCAAGACCTAAACAATCGTTCTTTCTTTGCATTATTAGTAGACTGTAGGATTAAATCTCTTTTATTAATTAAGACAAACTAAACCTAATGTAAGTACTTCAAACAGCAAAGAAACTTACCAAGATAAACCATCGTGGTTGCATTTCTTTTCTTGATAACTTCAATAGTTCACCTTCTTTTATAAAAATCTAAAACAACTGCTTTAATGAGATATATGTTAACAATAAACAGATGTGAATTTTTAATAAAACAAATATAATGCGCCATGTTATTTATTTACGAAAAAACAATATTTAAATAAATGGTATACAAAAAATTATGAGTTAATATATCTTTCAAAGAAATATTATGTGAGAACCATAGTAAACCATATTTAATTTATAATAATCACATGTAGAACAATAGAAAATTTAAATAGTCAACTTTACTTTCGATGAAGCAAACAGACGGTAACTTCTTTAAAGAACACATCCATTCATCATAATACAATAATAAACACATTTAATTATACGTTTCATTGAATTTCATGTCACGATAAATATTATGTACTCTCGGTAACAGATTGTCTTGCAGTAGCAACGGGTGCCTTTTTACATACACGTTATATTCTTTATTTTACCAACTCTGAAAAAATACTAGATTGTATTACTTTGAAATACGGCACCTTGTGCAAAAATATTATACTATAACACAACGTTTAAGATCACACAATTATATTTTTATCACAACTAAAAAGACTGTAAAACTCCACTTGTTTCGACGGAATAGACTTACCGCCATCATCGAGAGTACAACCTGATGATGGCAGGAATGTTATTCCGCCGAAACATATAGTCTTACAGTCTTTTTCAAGTTTTAATAAAACTATATTGTGTAATCTTGAACGTTGTATACAGTTCTATAGTACTAAATTGTCTTTAATGTGATAGGATAAATATCTTAAGGATATGTATAATGTAAATCAACCAAACAAGCAAATGTCCAAATATTAAGAGAAACACGATTAAATAAAAAACACCCTTATTGACAGTTATGATTATACATATAAATCATACTGTATTGTTAACAGTTATTATGAAGTAAACAAACCGTAGTGTATTGTTAACAGTTATTATGAAGTAAACAAACCGTCTTGTATTGTGAATAGTTATGAAGTAAGCAAACTGTACTGTGTTGTTAATAGTTATGATGAAATAAGCAAACCGTACTGTATTGTTAACAGTTATTATGAAGTAAACAAACCTTACTGTATTGTTAATAGTTATGATGAAGTAAAAAAACCATACTGTATTGTTAACAGGTATAATGAAGTAAACAAACCGTACTGTATTGTTAATAGTTATGATGAAGTAAACAAACCGTACTGTATTGTTAATAGTTATGATGAAGTAAAAAACCATACTGTATTGTTAACAGGTATGATAAAATAAACAAACCGTACAGTATTATTAACACTTATCATGAAGCAAACAAACCTAACAAACTTATGGTATTGTTAACAACAATGACGTAGATAAACAAACTGTACGGTATTATTAATAGTCATTATGAAACTGGAACTGGGTAACAACTCCTCAGAATATCTAGTTAATTAAAAGCATGTCAAATCTTAACAGCAGCTTATCGTATTATTTTATAACTAGTTAGATATAGTATTATATAATCTAACAATTAAGATGTAAGTTAATGTTCCATTTGTTGAAAAAAATAGTTTAAAGTAGAGCTTACCCTTCCTGGCTTGACAATCTCAAAATTTCCAAATATACTGTTCTGTATCGATAGCAACTTTGCAAAGTTGTCCTAGAAAGACATTACCCACGAAGATATCAGCCTGGTGAATTTACTTAATTCTATTTATAAGCAAAATGAAATAGCTTAAATCATCCTATGCTTTGCATTTATCAACTGATTGAAAAACAGAATCACCGCTTATATATATATAAATGTGTATCCCACCAGATTATCGGCAAGAGATATGGCTAAATATAAGGAAGTTTATATTATTAAAAAGCAGAGGAATAAAGTAGGGCAAGTGTCTAAAAAAATGGGGCAGATAGAAGGCAATATTATTTAAAAAAGACAATAAAATGAGAAAAAATTACCTGTATACAGAAGTTCTTGTAATTATGAATGTTTAGAGAACTTACTGGGTTATCTTTTCACACGGAATTCTTATTTCTATTTTCATGGGCACAGTAGAAGCGTGCTGGCAGAATTTTGACAGAAAGGTAGACATTTTGACAACTTATAGATCTAGGCCACTTCTGATTACGTTCTGGATGACATGAAAGTTGCAGAGGATGAAAATAAGAAGACTTTCACAGACATCTTCCTTCAAGGGCATCATTGATATCATTCCGCATTGTTTTTTTTTATATTAGGGCCATTACTTGATGCACTTAAACAAATTCGCAGAGGGATGGCTATTTCTTCCATTAGGAAATGCATGATTTTCTCTGATACACGCTTTTGTGTAGCATGACCAAAATAGGTGACTAATAGGTATCTCCTGATAAACTAATTTTGTGTTTCCAGTTGCTTTACATCTTTATCAGTGGTGGTTTCATCACACAATATTATACATCTTGAATTATTTTTCTTTAGGTCATCCACAGTTTCTTTAGCAGATAAGGTTCTAACAATTTGAAATGATATACGACTGTTAGCGATGGGGCACTTGTACATCCCAGAGTAAAGCTGGCCAATATTATACTTGCATCATTCATTGTCTACAGTGTTTATGCTTCCCTAACTTCTGTTGCTAGATTTGATTGGAGATGGTTAAATTGGTTAGAGTCATGGGTCTTGAATACAGAGACCGAGGGAGCAGTTGTGATGACGTATTCTGGTTGTGGTCTTCCTCTTTGGTCTTGTTTACTCTGCCTCTTAAAGTTGGTTGAGACTTGCCCAAAAGAATCTTAAATTTTTCTACATGGGCACTTCGGTGTGCTGTTTTAGTTTGGAGATCCCAGAGTTTTCAACTGAACATTTTTGTATCAAAGTACGCAATAAACCTCCGAGCTTATCAGTTTTTGACATCACAGACCAATGTGATGCCCATTAATATCATGCTTGTCCAATCAAGAGTCCTCAAATATATATATACTTTCCGTAAGGTGTCATGTTAATTCACTGGTGAGAAACTGTACTTACTTAAAGATATACAGAATCAATGCAGCATACATTTGTATGCTTATAATACAGAATTTGTGAAACACGTTTATATACCTAACACATGATTTGTGAAACATACGTGCATGTATCTAACTTACTCTTGAAATGATACTAAACTAGTCCCAGTTGCAATAAAAAAAGCCTTCAGCCTCTTCTTATTTTTAACAACTAGAAAAAGGTAGTAGTGAAATATGTCAGTATAAGTACACAAGTTAAACACATAAAATGCGATGTGCTACAACTCTTATGACTCTTCACTTGGTGAGGAACAAATGGAGGACACAGAAATGTCCCTCGGTTTTAAAGAAAATTAAAGAGTATAAGAAACAGTGAAATGTGAGACAGGGTATTCGATCCTCTTTATGTTATTGTTACGACAGCGGAAGTCACGCGACGCAGGGAGCATACGCGCTGGAGTTTCTAGAAAGATCATGACATATCGAGGAACCCCGCGAATGATCATGAATTTCCTAGTGCGTTCGGGACGCCCCCTTTTTAAATATATATGCCCGGCAAATAAAGTCAGATATAGATAGATTGGAGATTTAGATAATTGAGTCAAGCGAACAGTAGGCACCGTAAATAAAGTGTGTGAATCGCTGTGAATTAAAGCGTGTGTTTATAAAAGTAGTTAAGTTAAAGTGACTGTAGAAATACTGTGTATTATTAAAATCAATCAAGACAGGACTTGTATCCCTAAAGTTCTTCTGAAAGAGTTTCTACCGGAAATTAACAAACAAGTAGATACGTAACAAATTAATGTCAGAGAGTGGGACGGAAAATAAAAATAAAAAAGAAGATGGAAACGAGAAGTAGCAAATCAAACTGCAGCTTAGCAGATTTGATGGCAGCAATACAAGAACAGCAAAAGAAACAAGAAGAACGAGAAAAGAAACAAGAAAAGAGTTTACGGCAGTTGTTGGAGGAAAAAAAGAAACAAGAAGAGAGATTACAGCAGTTGTTGGAGGAAAAAGAAAAGAAACAAGAAGAGAAACTACATCAGTGGTTGGAGGAGGAAGAAAATAAACAAGAAGAAAGTCTCCAACTGTTGAGAGAAAGCCAGCATACACAAATGGAAAAGATAAGTACATTTCAAAGTGAATTAAATACATTAAAGGACGATTTATTGTCTTTTACACAAGGAGGATATATTAGCCATAGGCCTAATCAGCCCCAGACAACAGGAAGCCCCTTCCAGACCCCGCAGACAAACCCTAATGCAGACATCTTCAGTCCTGTTGGAAGTCACATCCCAGATATGAATGTCAGCAATATGGGTGATCCAGTACGAAGGAAGCCACAGGAATTCGATGGGAAGGCACCGTGGGAAGCATATAGAGCCCAATTTGAGCTCCCGGCAGAGATGAATGGATGGACAGAGGAGCAGAAAGCAGTGTACTTGGCAACGAGCCTGAAGGGACAACCACTGGAAATACTTGGACAGTTGTCAGCAGACAACAGGCACAACTATAGAGCACTGGTGGCTGCTCGAGAACTCAGGTATGGAACTCAAAATCAGTCCAAAGTTTACAGGGCTAGGTTTAGAACAAGAGTCCACGCTAGAGGGGAAAGCCTGCAAGAGCTGGCACAGGATTTGGAAAGTATGGCACACACAAGGCCTACCCAACTGCACCACCCGATGTCCTCAAGCTGTTGGTGATGGATCAGTTTGTAGATGCCTTGGACAGTCCACAACTGAAGATACAA